AATCCTGCATAGGATAGCTAGGCGTTACCCTTTGAACCTTCCCTTGTGCAGGTATATTTACTTTACTGGCTGACCAGTAGACGCGATGTCCTTGAGCTGTTCTGTCGTTTGTGTAAACGATGATATACCTCACACAGGATTCTTCCTAACACAATCTAATTCTCATTGTTATGTTCGTTTTGGCCATGAACATATGCCCGGTTCTGTGAGAGTTCTTAAGAATTGAGCTCCACACAATTCTCTTAGAAGGCGCCCCACTTCTCTCTCACATAGGTGATTTCTTATTACAAGTAACCCGCATCACTTGGATCGATTTATGATGCATAAGAATCATTAAAAGCCTATTGTTTAACCTTCAACCTTACGAGCATCACTGTTAGATCATAGGAATGGACAGGAGATAATACCCCACAGTGATTTTATCAAGTCTTTACAGTTAGGTTTTCCCATTGAACCTAGATCTTGGGATCTCCAGTCAACTAGATTAGGTTTTTCTTTGTAATGACTTATTCTTTCAAGGGCTTAAGTCCCATTCCTTTCAATGATTTCATAACTAACTCTCTATTTAACCCTTTGGTTAGCGGATCCGCAATGTTATCTTTTGACCTTATATAGTCAATAGTGATAACTCAAGTTGAAAGTAGTTGTCTTATGGTATTGTGTTTACGACGTATATGTCTAAACTTACCATTATATATGTTACTCTGTGCCCTTCCTATTGCCGCTTGACTATCACAATATATGTAAATTGGTTGCACATGTTTTGACCATCTTGGAATATCCTCTAAGAAGTTGCGCAACCATTGAGCCTCTTAACACATTTATCTAGAGCTATAAACTCAGATTCCATCGTAGATCTGGCTATAACCGTTTGCTTAGAGAATTTCCACGATATGGCAGTACCACCCAATGTGAACACATATCCACTGGTGGATTTTGAGTCTTTTATATTAGATATCCAATTAGCATCACTGTATCCTTCAATGATTGCTGGATATCTAGTATAATGTAGTCCATAGTCACGAGTATATCTTAAGTACCTTAGTACTCTTACAATTCCTTTCCAGTGATCAGCTCCTGGATTACTCGTGTATCTACTCAGTTTATTGACTGTGTAGGCTATGTCTGGTCTAGTACAACTCATTAAGTACATTAGACTTTCGATAACTCTCGAGTATTCTACTTGAGAGATACTTTCTCCTCTATTTTTAGACAAATGTTGACTCGTATCTATTAGTGTTCTAGCCAAGCTAGTATCATCCTTATGGAACTTTCCTAAAATTTTGTCCACATAATGTGACTGACTTAGAACAAGTTCATTTGATGTTCTTGAGGTTTTCACTCCAAATATAACATCAGCTAAACCCATATCTTTCATGTCAAATCTCGAGTTTAACATATTTTTAGTGGATTCAATCATCTTATTGTTACTACCAACAATAAGCATGTCATCAACGTAAAGACATAAGATGAGATATCCATCTTTAGTATCTTTGACGTAAACACATTTGTCACATTCATTGATTTTAAATCCACTCTCAATCATGACATTGTCAAATTTTCATGCCATTATTTTGGTTCTTGTTTCAAGCTATATAGTGACTTCACCCGTTTATAGACTTTCTTTTTCTGTCCTGGTGACGAAAACCCCTCAAGTTGTTCCATGTAAATTTCTTCTTCTAAATCTCCATTTAGAAAGACGGTTTTAACATCCATTTGATGTATTTCAAGATTTCGCAAAGTGGAAATCGCAATTATCATCCTAATAGATGTTATTCTCGTCATTGGAGAATACGTATCAAAGTAATCAAGGCCTTCCCTTTGTTTGTAGCCTTTAATTACTAATTTGGCCTTATACTTCTCGATAGTTCCACCTGCTTTCATTTTTCTTTTGAAAATCCATTTGTAGCCTAGTAGTTTGCTTCCTGGAGGAAGATCCACTAGCTCCCATGTATGATTTTTCCGTTCAGCAACACCATTTTGTTGCGGTGAATTAGGGGCGGTGGTTTCATGTATGATTCTGTGTTGTGCACAGAATTCAGCAAATTGTGCTTTATACTTACCACCTCGATCACTTCGCAGCACCTTAATTTTCTTATTAAGTTAATTCTCAACTTCATTCTTATAGAGAATAAATTTCTCTATAGCTTTATCCTTGCTTTTAAACAGATATACATAGCAGTATTTTGTGCTATCGTCGACAAAAGTAATAAAATACTTGTTGCCACCTCTTATTTGTACAAGTTTTAGATCACACACGTCACTGTGAACTAAATCTACTGATTTTGTGTTCCGTTCAATTGATTTAAACGATGACCTTGCCAATTTTGTTTCAACACAAGTTTCACATTTATGTTTGGAATTGTTATTGAACTTAGGTATACAGTTAGAGTTAACTAGTTTTCGTAAAGTATCATAGTTAACGTGTCCTAGTCTACCATGCGACAAATTGGAAGACTCAAGCAAATAAGCAGAAGAACTTACTTTATTCATTTTTGGTTTCACAACCATTACATTGAGTTTAAACATACCGTCGGAAAAATAACCTTTTCCAACAAACATTTCACTTTTTGATAGAATGACTTTGTTTGACTCAAAAATAATGTGGAAACTATGCTTATTCAGAAGCGACCCGAACACTAAATTCTTGCGAATTTTCGGCACATAAAGCACGTTGTTGAGAGTCAGTTCCTTTCCCAAGGTCATCTTCAGAACTACTTTTCCTTGACCCTTGATTTCAGAAGTTGCCGAATTTTCCATGAACAACTTCTCACTGTTCTCAACAGTTTCAAACGTATCAAACATCTCTTTATTAGAGCACACATGCATTGTAGCACCGGTGTCAATCCAACACTCTTTAGGGTTTGAACCCATCATGTTTACTTCAGAAATGACTGCTGCGAGATTCAGCTCCGACACATCTTGTGCCATGTAGTGAACCACGTTCGCTTCTTTCTTTTTCTTCGGTAATCTTCACTCCGAAGACTTGTGATCCACTTTGTCACAATTGAAGCATTTCCCTAGGAATTTCTTCTTGACAATTCCACCTTTCGGTCCTTGCTTGGTTCTTTTGTCACCGGATGGCCTAGACTTGTTTTTGTAGTTCTTACTACTTTGACCAAGCTCCACAACATTATCTTTGGCCACACTAGGATTGAACCACTTCTTCTCGGAACTCTTGTTGTCTTCTTCGATTCGAAGTCTTACAACGAGTTCTTCGACGTTCATTTTTTTTCGTTTGTGTTTCAAATAATTCTTGAAATCTTTTCACGCGGGGAGGGGGGGGAATTTTTCTATAATTGCAGCCACCTGAAAAGTTTCACTCAACATCATTCCTTTGGCATGAATTTCATGAAGAATCACTTAGAGTTCTTGCACTTGACTAATAACAGTTTTGGAGCCCGCCATCTTATAGTCTAGGAATTTGCAGACTATAAACTTTTTAGCCCCGGCATCCTCAGTTTTATATTTCTGGTCCAAGGACTCCCACAATTCCTTAGCAGTTTTCATGGTGCTATACTCATTGCACAGCACATCTGTTAGGCTGTTCATGACATAATTTCGGCACAAAAAGTCCGAATGCTTCCAAACATCAAGTGCACTCAATGCTTGCACATCTCCCTCGCCCTCATTAAGTTTTGGAGAAGTTTCAGTCAAGAATCTCGCAAAATTCAAGGTGGTCAAATAAAAAAGCATTTATGTTGCCATCTTTTGAAATTCAAGCCATTGAATTTCTCCAATTTTTCTCCATTATTAACCGGAACAATTACAGTTTGGCTAGTTTGGCTCACAACATGACTTGGTATTCTACCCACAGTTTGAGCCACAATGGAGCTTGGCCCTTGAGCTACATTAGAACCCACAGCCTGATTTCCAGCAAGAGCAGTTTGGGTCACATCCATGTTGGTTGGTTCGGTAGCCATTTCTGAAAATGAAACAAAAATTAGTTTCTAATAAACAATTTGTTTATCTCAATAAAATAAAATAAACAATTTATTTACTACCAATATGTATAAAATTTGTTGAAAATTATGTTGGTGGAATGATACCGAATTTACGGGTACCGTATATGCATTTTAGATATTGTATATGCGTCATACCGTATATGTAGCATACCGTATATGCAGCATATCGTATATGCACAGATTATATACCGGATTTGCACAAACTTGATTTTACGCATACAATAAGATTAAATACTGGATTTTCTCATACCGATTTATAATATTAGTTAATTACACAATAAACTAAATTGTCATAAACCACAATATGTTAATTAAATTTAGAACTAAATTATATTAAAGTATGTAAGACACTTAATTTAATAAATCTAAACGGGAAAGCTGAAAATTAACAGAAATTTAAAAAATTAACGACATGTTTATAACTTCATATAAACTTTTAATCTGAGGCCTGTGTAAACACAGTGTCCTTAAAACAGATTCGCCCTCTCACCGTACGTGCTTGAGTTTTAATTCGAGCGTCTATTTTCAGGATACAACGGTATATAGTAGAATCTAAGCACCGCAGATACTACTCTGGCGAACTGATCTAATATCCAAACAATATCACCACAAGAACAAAACCTTACTGGATAAGGAATGCAAAGAAAAAACTGTGTATGCAGAAATGTAGGTGAGATTTTCGAGTGTGTTAGATTGCTGGAGAATGAGCCTTTTTATAGGCATACTGCCGATTAATATTGTGACCATTGAGAGTCCATTAGAGTTACTTCCCATTAACACTGTGACCATTGGGAGTCCATTGAAATTTTTGCAGTTCAGAAACTCAGAAGTCATTGGAGAAAGCTAAAAAAAATTGGCAAAATGTGGGCTCTCTGATGAGGCCATTTTGCCTTGTTCAGTCCGACATTCGTGTGCGTAAGTCGCGCCCACACCCAAGTTCAAGGTCCAAAAGCCATTTCGGTTAGTGATTTGCACCCCTGTGCGCACGTATGTGGAGAGAGCCTCTATGCTACACATGATTACACATCTCCAAAGCATAGCCATATATAAAGTGGTTTAAGTTTCCTTGGTTTTCCTACGTGGGATAAATGTATTTTTTTCCCACAAAACCAACTTTCAATGACCAACTTCGAGCTTCAATTTCTCATTCACCCGAGCTTCATTTTTGGCAAATAAATACATGAAATCGATGTTCTCGCGAAGGAGAACACATATCAACTTTGGACCAATGGGTCCCATCGAAAATTGTGCCAAAAGTGAGCCGCTCACTCAATTTTTTCCAACACTATGTTTAGTCACTCTCTGAAAAAGGATTTTTTGCTCATGGTAGAATGGTGGATGGATGGGCTGGTGGCTCGTTTGGTCCGCTGGGAAGTCATGGCAGCCACGACAGCGGTGGCGATCAGAGCCCTCAGTAGAGTTTTAGGGAGCAGGACAGATTTCTTCCTATTGCGAACAACAGTAGGATAATGAAGAAGGCGCTCCCGACCAACGGAAAGACTACTAAGGACGCTAAAGAAACCATCCAAAAATGTGTCGCTGAGTTCACCAGTTTTATCACCAGCGAGTATGTTGCTTGTGGATTGAAAAAAGGGTTGTTTTATGTTGTCCTTTTTCCCCCTCGTATGCAAAGATAGTGCTTTTCAAAATTTTCCAGAAAACACAAGCTCATTGACACACACAGAGGATCGCCTGTTAATTTTATGCAGGATTACAATCTCGTGGAAATTATAACCTCAAATTTATATATTTCTTTATGTGATTGATGTGAAAGTTCTAGATCAACAATACAAATAAATAAACACGTTCACATTCGCAGGTATCTGTATATATTTTTTTAATGTTACACTCCGACATATTATCTCATGTATTGAATGTATATGTAACGATGCACGGTTTATCTCACTCTTTTATGAAATTTGCTTACTTTAATCTTTTGCATAAGTAACAGATATAAGTATATTTTCAATGTTAGACATGTGAATTTTTGCAAGTATATAAAAGAAAGTTGTGAATGTCACGTTATTGAGGTCTGTAATTGAAAGTGTTTTGGTGGTTCAAATGTCAAGGGAAAGTGACAAGTGTTCGAAAGAGAAACGAAAGACAATTAATGGGGATGATTTGCTGGGGGCTATGGCAACTTTGGGATTTGAAGATTACGTTGATCCATTAAAGGTGTATCTGGCTAGGTACAGGGAGGTAAATTTTTCCTCATAATGAATTTTCTCAAATTCTTTAGGCTTTTGGATTTTTTTCTACTGGCTAAAAGGAACTATGTGCCATTATGAATTATTTGTATACTGAAACTATGGATCTGTGTTTTTGGTTTTATGATTCTTGCCCCCATTGGATTGCTTTTGGCCACAGATGGAGGTGAGTGATGCATATTATATTCTGTTCATGCGGTTTTTTGTTGTTTTGTTTCATTTGACAATAACACTTCACCTCATGTTTTTTGATAGGGTGATACCAAATGATCAGGATAGGGTGCAGATGGATCTTTGAAAGGATGCACTAGTAACTAATCCTAGTTCTCAGGTATTATGTCACATCATTGTGATTTGCATTCTTTTGATTTACTGAAATTTTGAAACGTTTATGTATAATAATTTGTGGATATTATAAACAATTGCAGCTTGCTGACCAGGTTTCATTCCCACAAGTCATGAATTACTCAGGTGCACGTTCCGTGTCCTTACGTGCATCATTCTCTTTTTACAGTGCCATACCTTTGTATATTTATAAATATGTCTCTTTACGTGTGCCCCTTACATAACTCTGTGTTGAAACATCTATTACACGACTTAGTTGCATATGTTGTGATATCAAGTAGCAAGTTGCGAGAATAGAAAAATGATTTTATGGGCCAAACCATGACATGGGATAAGGAGGGTAGCAGATGAAACCATATCTATGAGGAAGTTTTAACATATTTTTGATGTCCATTTAGTCTTGTCTGCCAAAAAAGTCAATGTCATTTCAGATTTTACACAGGAATTTCTTGCATTAGTGGGCATCATCCTTCCCAATGTACATCCACGGTCTCCTGCTAGTGTTCTTTAAAAACAATAAGTAACTGTAAGATTTTTTAATGATAAGTTGGCCTCTAGTTTTGCCTATTTTATAGAGAGATGTAGATATTGTTTAAAAAATCCCGACTGAGGCCCAGATTAGAGCGAGGCGAACAAGAATCACCTCATGGCACTGATCGTGTGAAGACTTTTTTTGGAGACGCACGCCTCGGTTAAGTGAGGCATACACCTTAAAGCTCGTGAGTCATGCGCTCCTTAATTCTTCAGGCTTTTCTTTAGGTTTGGTCCCACATAACATTAAAAATTCTGATTGACCTACTTTAGGAATTGTCCGCTGGTGTATACATAATGGTGAGAGTTGCTGGTTTAAATGTTATGTCCTGCTTGTTGGAAGAAACAGAAGTACTTACATTTTAATTCTCTTCATCTGTTATCAGTTCTCTAGATTGACAGTTGTTGAAAATGTTGTCAAGACTGGAGTGAACCCCTTGATGTGTTCTTTAATGAATTTACCTGTCGTCAAAATTCAAACTTAAAAAGGAAGAAAACATTTAAGTCTGCCAACTGAATGTTCAAATGTTTTGACAACTTTGATTTTGAACTTCACTATCTATTGTTATCTACTAGTTACAGTATAAGACTAAGTTAATTTGATTGGTCGTACATTAGAATCTCTAACCTTGTTCATGCTGCTTGTTAAATTTGGGAGAAATTACATATGTTCTTCATAAACGTGTGTTACATATATATACACATAAGGAAACAATCCTATCAAAATAAGAAATCAATCTAAACTTATGCACCTTCCATATATAAACGTGTTAAATATGTAAAGACTAAAGTTAAACCTAAATTAATGCATAATTCCATAACACTCCCCCTCAAGCTGGAGCATAGATATCAATCATGCCCAACTTGTTACAAATATATTTTACACGAGTTCCGGTTAAGGCTTTAGTGAACACATCAACTAATTGATCTCATGTTTTGACATGCTTAGTCGAAATCAATCCTTGGTGTAACTTTTCACGAACAAAGTGACAGTCTACCTCTATATGCTTTGTTCTCTCATGAAATACTGGATTAGTGGCAATGTGAATAGCTGCTTGATTATCACACCACAAGTTCATA